CAGTTAACTTATTGTATACAAAATTGACATCAAAATGAAAAAACAAGTTAAAGGCTATACCCCCAAATTTCTTTTTTTTATAGCTTTTTTCATTCTCCCTCTTATTGTCCACATGTTTTCTTTTCACCTTTGTTTTCATTTTATGTTTTTTATACAGGGTGAGGCAGCATAACTTCCTTTTTAAAATGTGCACCATTCAGTCGGTTGAAGATGTAGTAGAGCGCTAGTGGTCTCGTTCGAGAGGCGGGAGTATAAAGTTTTGTCCTGACACAGTTCAGTCGCCATCATGCGTTGGAACAGTGAGGAGTGTGCTTTTGCCGTTGAGGCCTACTTTTCGAGTGGATTTGGAGTGGCTGGCCCGCTCTCCAGATTTGGCCCCTTGTGATTTTTTTCTACGGGGTTTTTGAAATCCCGTGTTTATGTGAACTATCAAGGACCCTACAAGATTTGAAGACCAACATCCAGGAAGAAATTGCCAACATAACGCCTGCTATGCTGGCAAGAGTCAAAAACACCAGAAATTGGTTTATTCAGTGTATGGAGAATGGAGAATGGGGGACGTCACCTACCTAATTTGATCTTCAAAACTACGTAAAACAAAACTTTAGGTATGCATCTACATTATAAAAAAATAAAAAATTCTGATTCATACAATGGGTTTTATTACGTTTTGAAAAAAGCAAGTTATTCTGACTCACCCTGAATATGCAAAATGTAAATAAAATATATATTTAAAAAAAAAACAAGATACAAACAATCACATAGAAACAGGTTATACTAATCAAATGCTCAGCATTAAAACATCTCAAATGATAAAAATGATTAAAATAAATGGAAATTGGCTGATAATAGTTGTTGTTGAATGTTCCAACCATAGATCATTCCAATATAAAATGTATTATATGATATAAAAGCAGTACATAAAATTAACAACATAAAGATTTTTTTAAAAAAATAATCAGTAACTGAAAGCATCCTACATCCATCCATGTATAAATATGTGAGAGGAAGCCACAGGGAGGAGGGAGCAAGGTTGTTTTCTGCTTCCTTGGAGACTAGGACGCGGAACAATGGCTTCAAACTACATGAGAGGAGATTCCATCTGAACATTAGGAAGAACTTCCTGACTGTGAGAGCCGTTCAGCAGTGGAACTCTCTGCCCCGGAGTGTGGTGGAGGCTCCTTCTTTGGAAGCTTTTAAGCTGGATGGCCATTTGTCAGGGGTGATTTGAATGCAATATTCCTGCTTCTTGGCAGGGGGTTGGACTGGATGGCCCAAGAGGTCTCTTCCAACTCTTTGATTCTATGATTCTATGATTCTCCATAAGCCTTGCAATCCAATGCATGTCGACATGAAAATACATCCTACTGTATTCAAGGATGTTTACTTTCAGGCATGTACCAATTGTGTCCTTTTTAACAACCCAAATGTATCCATAGATAGATAGGTTCTAGTACTCTGTGTTTAGACCACAGGCCATTCTCATAAACATGTATTCTATAATATAAAAGTAATTCAATATAAAACAGTTTATAAAATAAATGACACACAGACACATACACACACACATATAAATTAATCAATAACTTGATATTAAACTTGGCTAATTAAGCAAGATTTTGATAATGGTTAGAGTATTACCTAATTATCGGACAGGATTTGAATGAGCATTAGAACGCTAATAATAATGCTGGATATCTTGATAACAGGAACTGGCTGGTTTAAATGTTTACATTTATATTGTTTTGAGAGGGAAAATAGCTTTTTAAACTGCTATTTATTAATGTTTATATTAGTGTGTTATTTTAATTGTATTAAATGATAATTGTTTATTGTTTATATTATTTTCTGTATCTGTTTATTGTTATAAGCCACCCCGAGTCCCTTCAGAGAGAGGGGATGAGATATAAATAAAGATTATTATTATTATTATTATTATTATTATTATTACTACTACTACTACTACTACTACTAATATTCTGAAGTGCTTCTCTCTGTGAGTAATACAGTACACTCCCAAATAATAATAATAATAATAATAATAATAATAATAATAATAATATCACAATCTGACAACTGCAAAAGGCCACCTTACTTGGATCTGCGCGCATCATTCGAAAATACATCACACAGCCCTAGAAGCTAGGGAAGTGTTAGACTCGTGATTTTGTGATATGAAATCCAGCATATAGATATTGTTTGCTGTGGCATACTATGTGTCAGTAAAATCATAATAAGAATAAATTTTACTTATACCCCGCCACCATCTCCCATAGGGACTCGGGGCATCTTACAAAATAGCATACCATGGTGCCATACAACACATAAAATGCAATACATCAACATTAAAATCAATATCACATTAATTCACCGGAAATTAAACAACCAGAACTCTCAAAATTAAATAAACTAAGGCTCCATTCAGAAAGCTGTTCTTGTAATACAGTAAAACTATACTAGATTAACTTTGTCTTTATTTGTTTTTAACTGCTGTCTTCCAATACGAATATAATAACATAAAACTTTATTTGTATTCCACCCTATCTCCCCAGAGGGACTCAGGGCAGACTCCAACATACAACAACAAACATTCAATGCTTCCATAAAGCAAACAAGTACCAACATTGAAGTAAAGGTTTTTCCCTGACATTATGTCCAGAAGTGTCTGACTCTGGGGGTGGTGCACATCTCCATTTCTAAGCCAAAGAGCCAGCATTGTCCGTAGATACCTCCTAGATCACGTGGCTGGCATGACTACATGGAATGCGATTACCTTCCTGCCAGAGCGGTACCTATTGATCTACTCACATTTGCATGTTTCGAACTGCTAGGTTGGCATAAGCTGGTGCTAACAGCGGGAGCTCACTCTGCTCCTTGGATTTGAACCTGTGACCTTTTGGTCAGCAAGTTCAGCAGCTCAGCGGTTTAAACCACGGTGCCACTGGGGGCCTTGTACCAACGTTATAAACCCAGAAAAACCCCACATATTAAAACAACATTAAACCCTAACATCAATAAATTAAACCAATAATAATCAAACAAGAATTATACAATGATTTAAAATCCGAAAGCAGGTTAAACCACTGACCTTGCTGACCGAAAGGTCAGCGGTTTGAATCTGAGGAGTGGGGTGAGTTCCCACTGTCAGCCCCAGCTTCTGCCAACCTAGTAGTTTGAAAACATGCAAATGTGAGTATATCAATAGGTACTGCTTCAACGGGAATGTAACGGTGCTCCATGCAGTCATGCCGGCCACATGACCTTGGGGGTGTCTATGGACAACGCCAGTTCTTCGGCCTAGAAATGGAGATGAGCACCACCCCCCAGAGTCAGACACAACTAGACTTAATATCAAGGGGAAACCTTTACTTTTACTAAACATTCATATTAATTTATAAAAGCCAACAATCGTTCACAAGATTGTGTAGCTTGGTTTTGTGACCAGAGTGGTTGTATGGATATTGAGTCAACACAGAGTTTACAGTGTAGGGGGAACAGTATGAGGCCTAATTTTTAATAGCAACTCCCAAGCAACCAGAAACTGCAGTGATCTCACATCCACCAAACCTCTATATGGCTGCTAGACCATTGTATATAGGAGATGCTCCACTAATAATATATTATAAGATAACATATTGTATATACATATAATATTTATAATATTATAATTTAATAAAATATAATAATGCTACTAATAATACAATATTATAATTATAATTATATATTTTATATTAAATGTATTTTAATTTACTAATAATATTACAATACAATGGTATAGTACAATATAGTAATATATAATACTGACATTATACTATGCTAATAATATAATATATTGTATTTTTTATCTTTTAAGCCACTCTGAGTCCCCTTTGGGATGAGAAGGGCGGCATATAAATGTTGTAAATAAATAAATAAATAAATAAATATTATTTATACAGCATAAACAGTTTGCAGCAGTATAAAAGACAGTACATAAAATAAACACCACATAGGATCCTTTTGGGAAAGTGAATCAGTAGCCTGAAAAGCTTCCTTGTATAATTATAATTATATATTTTATATTACATTTAATATTACTAATAATATTACAATATAATGATATAGTGCAATACAGTAATATATAATACTGATATTGTACGACGCTAATAATATAATACAATTTTATATTACATGTAATATTACGAATAATATTACAATATAATGGTATATAGTACAATATAGCAATATATAATACTGATATTGTACGACGCTAATAATATAATACATTTTATAATTGTATATATACAATATAATATATTCTATATAATGTATTTTATATTGTATGTTTATATATCTTGTAAGCCGCTCTGAGTCCCCTTTGGGGTGAGAAGGGCAGCATATATATGTCATAAATTGTACTGTATATTGTATGTTTATATATCTTGTAAGCCGCTCTGAGTCCCTTTCGGGGTGAGAAGGGCGGCATATAAATATTGTAAATAAATAAATGAATATTATTATTATTTATTTATACAGCATAAACACTGTGCAGCAGTATAAAAGGGCAGTACACAAAATAAACAACACATAGAGTCCTTTTGGGAAAGTGAATCAGTAGCCTGAAATGCTTCCTGGTGTGCCAATACATGATGATGATGATACATACACTCATGAGTCATGCTTATTACCATTCTCTCTCTCTGGGTTTCAGTGGCACAAACAACCACTCAAATGGACCTTTGCAAAGCGACAACCCCCAGGGTTCCAAAGCTGGTGGAGGGGTATCAAACTGGGTTAATTATGTAGTGCAGATCCCCTTTGAGCTCTCAGGGTTGGCTTATGCCTTAAGGAGCAGCAAGGCTTCACTCCTTCCCCGAAGGGGAAGGAGTGAAGCCTTGCTGCTCCTTAAGGCATAAGCCAACCCTAAGAGCTGAAGTATGATGGTGAGGATGGCTCCTTCTGGGGATGGAAACACCGAAGGACGACCACCACCAGCAGAGAAGCCCATTCCCCGCACTCACCATCCACCGTTTTCTTCTTGAACAGCGAAGCCATTTTCCCAGGCAGCGACTCCCTCTCCCAACCGCAGTTGCTGGGGCTTTTTCCTTCCTGCTTCTCAGGTGACCAGGAAGCGGCTGCGAAAGAGGCGGAGGATGAGGCGGCGGGGAGGGACCGGCATAGCCGCGGAGGAGGAGCCCAACCCGGATGCGCGGAAGGAGCCTCCCCCCCTTCGGCTCCCGCTCCGTCTCCCTCCCTGCTGCCAACGCCACGGCTCTGAGAGTTCGGCGTCCTTTGCTGCAAGGATCGAGCGGCTTGCAAAACTCAAACGCCCTTATTCTAGGGCAGTTTAAAGAGGGCTCAACATTGCATTCATTCTAGTTGCAGTCATACACTTACTGAATTGGCTAGAGGAGATGTTCTTTCTATGTAACACTTTTTTGGGGGGGATTGCTGAATGGCCATGTTCCAGAAGCATTCTCTCCTGACATTTCGCCTGCATCTGTGGCAAGCATCCTCAGAGGTTGAGTGGTCTGTTGGAAACTAGGCAAATGAGTTGTTTTGAGTTTCCCAGGCTGTATGGCTATGTTCCAGAAGCATTTTCTCCTGACATTTTGCCTGCATCCATTGCATTCATTCTAGTTGCAGCCATAGACTCACTGAATTGGCTAGAGGAGATGTTTTTCTTTCTATGTAACACTTTTTTGGGGGGATTGCTGAATGGCCATGTTCCAGAAGCATTCTCTCCTGACGTTTCGCCTGCATCTATGGCAGGCATATTCAGAGGTTGAGAGGTCTGTTGCAAACTAGGCAAGTGAGTTGTGAGTTTTCCAGGCTGTATGGCTATGTTCCAGAAGCATTCTCCCCTGACGTTTCGCCTGCATCTGTGACAACCATCCTCAGAGGTTGAGAGGTCTGTTGGAAACTAGGCAAATGAGTTGTGAGTTGACCAGGCTGCATGACTATGTTCCAGAAGCATTCTTTTGTGACATTTCACCTGCATCTGTGACAAGCATCCTCAGAGGTTGAGAGGTTTGTTGGAAACTAGGCAAGTCAGTTGTGAGTTTTCCAGGCTGTATGGCTGTATGGCCATGTTCCAGAAGCATTCTCTCCTGACATTTCACCTGCATCTATGGCACACATTCTCAGAGGTTGAGAGGTCTGTTGCAAACTAGACAAGTGAGTTGTGAGTTTTCCAGGCTGTATGGCCATGTTCCAGAAGCATTCTCCCCTGACGTTTCGCCTGCATCTATGGCAGGCATCCTCACAGGTTGAGTGTACTGTTGGAAACTAGGCAAGTGAGTTGTTGTGAGTTTTCCAGGCTGTATGGCCATGTTCCAGAAGCATTCTCTCCTGATGTTTTGCCTGCATCTATGGCAGGCATATTCTGAGGTTGAGAGGTTTGTTGGAAACTAGGCAAGGGAGGTTTATATATCCCTGGAAGGTCCAAAGTGGGAGAAATAATTCTTGTCTGTTTGAGGCAAGTGTGAATGTTTCATTTTGCCACCTTGTTTGGCATTGAATGGCCTTGCAGCTTCAAAGCCTGGCTGCTTCCTACCTGGGGGATCCTTTGTTGGGAGGTGTTAGCTGGCCCTGATATATTCTTGTCTGTAATCCCCCTGTTTTCTGAGTGTTGCTCTTTATTTACTGCCCAGATGTTAGAGGTTTTTAATCCTGGTAGCCAGATTTTGTTCATGGTTTCCTCCTTTCTATTGAAATTGCCCACAGGCTTGTGGATTTCAATGGCTTCTCTGTGTAGTCTGACATGGTGGTCGTTAGGGTGGTCCAGCATTTCTGTGCTCTCAAATAATATGCTGTGTCCAGGTTGGTTCATCAGGTGCTCTGCTATCGCTGACTTCTCTGGTTGAAGTAGTCTGCAGTGCCTTTCATGTTCCTTGATTCGTGCTTGGGATATTCTGCGTTTAGTGGTCCCTATGTAGACTTGACCACAGCTGCATGGTATACAGTAGACTCCTGCAGAGGTGAGAGATTCCCTCTTGTCCTTAGCTGAACGTAGCATTTGTTGTATTTTCTTCGTGGGTCTGTAGATCGTTTGTATGTTGTGTTCCTTCATCAGCTTCCCTATTTGGTCAGTGGTTCCCTTGATGTATGGCAAGAACATTTTCCTCTGGGTGGATCTTTGTCTTTACTCTTGTGACTTGTTCTTGGTCTTGCAGCTCTTCTGATGTCTGTGGTGGAGTATCCATTGGCCTGTAGAGCCCAGTTTAGGTGGGCAAAACGTAGGGAGAAAATTCTTCTGGAATCTGGGCATACAGCCCAGAAAACTCACGGCAACCCAGTGATTCCGGCCATTAAATCCTTTGACAAGACTTTTTTTTGCTCCTGAGTTGTAAATGTCATTGGTTCTTTCATTAAAAGAAGAAGAAGAAGAACATGGGGGGAAAGTTTATTTAACTACAAAAACTTTTCTTGTTTTTGTTTTGCTGGGACATCCTGCTATAGCACATTTTGCTATACTTTTACAATTAATATCTCATCAAGCCTCAACCAATTCAACCTAGATTGTGGCAGTCACAAAAACGCAAGTTTCTGGGGTTTAACAACTACTTCCAAAGTAACTACCACACAATTAAACAGGAAATAATACTTTCAAACTAGGAACAGATTTTTCAAATTTTGTTACATACTGTTAATACTGTTGCTGTTACTATTATTATTATTTCCTGCTTTTATCTCTGTGATTGAGATACAAAGCGGCTCATAACATTTAAAAAAATGATACAATTTAAAATCTCCAGCATTTAAATATTAAACATATACATTAAATAAAAGTTTTAAAATAGTTAAAATGTTTAAAATAGCTTTCCATTTTATTTTGGCAGAGAAGGCTGAAGAGTTCTTAACACTGCAACTCCCAGAATTTGATAGCATTGAGCCGTGGCAGTTAACGTGGTGTCAAATGGCATAAATTCTGCAGTGTAGAGCAAACTTGGTCATTTTAGTGGCAGGACTTGCCCTCCACTCTGCTGTGGTTGGAAGCAACACTTCTTGTTCCATTTCCCTAAGGGAACAACAAGGAATGACCCCTCATTTCACTGGATGTGAATTCTTATGCTGAATTTGTAGAAATATAGAGCTGGAGGAGGCTGTGAGAGTTATGCAATCCAACTCCATCACACAGGTACTGTATACATAACCAAAACACCCCCTATATATAGAACCATCTAGTCTCTGTCTAACCCCCCCCCCCAAAAAAAAAAAGAGAAGAAGACTCCATTGTGCTCTGATGCAGTATATATTTTGAAGCAACAGCTCAAAATTATAGGCAGGAATTATAGGCAGTTCCCAAGTTACAAACATCCGACTTACAAATGACTCATATTGAAGAATGGAGGTGAGACAACAGGAAGTGAGAGAATTCTACATCTCAGAAGATAAATTAACTCCTGATATAATTATCATGGGGAAAAGGGGTCTCCACTGAAGCTTTTACACCAATCCTTGTTTCCACAAGCCATTTTTTTTCAAAATCCATTTGTTACAGGGAGAGAAAATTAGGCGACATCTTCTGAACAGGCACAGACCTCAAAACCCCCTCTGAACCCCCTCTGAACAAATTTTGCTGAAAACTCCATGATATATTTACCTATGAGTTATTTACTTAATTACTTACTTAGGCGATCCCTTGTTGTCCGAGTAAGATTGAGCCCTATTCTTGATCCACATATTCTTCCACAGTGAGGGCATTGGTTTCCAGTCAGGGTTGGCTTGACGCGCCTTCCTCTTGGCACATTTCTCCCTTTCTCCCTCCATTAGTTGCTCTTCAAATTCTGCAGCAGTGCTGGTCACAGCTGACCCCCAGTTAGAGCTCTCGAGGGCTTGAGTGCTCTATGCCACAGATTTTAAGGTTAGCTTTAAGCCCATCTTTAAATCTCTTTTCCTGATACCAATAGTCCATTTTCCATTCTTGAGTTGGGATTATAGTAACTACTTTGGGAGACAGTGATTGGGCATTTGGACAACGTGGCCAGTCCAGCGGAGATGATGGCGTAGGAGCATCGCTTCAGTGCTGGTGGTCTTTGCTTCTTCTAACATGTTGACATTTGTCCACCTGTGTTCCCAAGAGATTTGCAGGATTTTTCAGAGGCATCACTGATGGAAGCGTTCCAGGAGTTGAGTGTGACATCTGTAAAAAACAATCATGTTTTGCAGGCGTATAACAGAGTTGGGAGGACAATAGCTTTATAAACAAGCACCTTGGTATCCCTACGGATGTCCCAATTCTCTAACACTCACTGTGTTAGAGAATTGGGTCAGCTATGACTAGGCGGCATTTTAAATAGCTTGGGCCCCTCTTTTTATATTTTGCATTGGGAGAATTTAAATGTACCCTAACATTGCTGCTAGAGAATCAGACACCCTCTTGCTGATTTCTGCATATCACACTTGTTGTTTTTGTTGTTGTTATATTTATGCCTCTCTTTACCTATCTAAAGGGGACCCAAAGCAGCTTGACAAAACAGATTTAGTATACAATTTAAAATATACAAATATACAAGTATTTAAACAGAATTAAACAGAAGCAGCACTAAAAATTCAGTTAAATTCATCAAAAACATATTCAGCATTAAAAACCACAGCACCCTCTGACTAGAATTCAAACACCATCTTTAAAAGCCTACCTGAATAAAAATCTTACATTATCAAACTGATATTTGATAATAATGTATGGCATCTTAAGTAAATAGTTATGAACAGTACAAATCACATAGTCCATCTTGCCAACAAAATCTATAGCGTGAGCAAAATGTTAACACACAAGACATGAAATTCACACATTGATAAAAGACCATGCAATGAACGCTGTTGATTAACATTAGTGAATGCTTTAAAAGGATGACCAAATCTAAATGGGAAAAATTAGGATGTTTTAGCAGGAAAGTTGGAAGTGACAATAAAAAGTGGCAGCATCTGTAAACTGTTATTTTTCTTCCTTTTTATATACATTGCTTTTAAACAGATGGAATGTGGAGTATTCAACTGATTATTAATTATCCTTACAAGACATAAACCTGTGCGGAAAGAGAAATGTATTGTGTATTATAATAGATTTATCAATCTTATATAGAAGTATTTCTGTTGCAATCGTGTACAGGAAAAAAGATACGCAAGCATATGCCAAAGAAAGAAAGATAGTCTAATTTTCCCCACAAGAAGTAGAGCACC